GGCATGGGAATTATTGAATGATTCCAAAGTAAAATAGATCTATAAAATGTTAGGAAAAGAAGGAAAATTGGCAAGAGAGGGAATAATGGTAATAACCTGAAATTAAACATAAAATGCTATAAAATGAATTCATCAGAAGGCAGAGCAAATGTCTATAAATTTGTGGAAAATGCCAAAATCTATCAAAGAAATGTAATGATAAATGTAAAACTAATATCTAAAATAATGTGGAAATAATGCTATCGGACTTCCATCCCAAACTTTCCTTAATGATTTATAAACCCAATATCAATTTTACACTAAACAATAAAAACAGATAGAAAAATTTATTTATAATAATATACACAAAAAACAGGAAATTCTAAAAATTATACTATTTACACATTCATCTACTCATATGACTTGAACCCTAATTTTGAAATACATGAAAGTTTCTCTGAAGCTTTGATTTGCATTAAGAAGTACACAAGGATCATGTTGACGTAACGATTCTGATACATCTGGATGGGGCCTGAGATTCTGCATTTCTAATAAGCTTCAATGTGGTGCTGATGTTTCTGGTCCGTGGACCACACACTGGGACAAAAGGATTTAAACTATCTGCAGAAAAGTACCCTGGATTTCTTTGACGTTGTTGGCTTTGCTAGGTTGGGAGGATAGTTTCTAGTCTTTGATTTTCCCTCTAACTTGTACATGGAGCATAACAGTTTTTTTTGAAACTGAAACACTCAACTTCCTGACCAGGCACTTTGGAACAAGCGGGGGCAAGAGAGAGTGTGTGCACCTGCTTTGAGTGTGTGTGCACCAGTTTTGCATCTGTTTGCAACTGTTGTAACGTCATACTTGCATTAAGGGAAGGGTGTCAGCAACTCTCCTGTGACTATCCTAATGTGTACTTGGATTCATCTAAGCACACAAAGTTTAGAGAATTGTCAGGTTCAAATATGCCCTATCTCTGAGGTTAAGCCCCAGCTTATTTCACACATTTCAACATTTTCCATGTGGATGCTGTTAAGGTTGCCTGGAATTTGGAGATAAGCCCAGGATTAGTCCTGCTTTAAAGTCATCATGAAGCCTTGTTATAGGCCTCAAGTTAAGTTGTTAAATGTATTTCTGAGAGCTTACTGGAAAAAAAATAATCACATTCACTAAATTTGGTAAGGTTCAGGTAGCAAAAACATAGTGTTGTTGTTGAAAACTTACCTGCAGGCTTGTACCTTCATGTTTCTGTAGACAGAGAGCTTCTGATGGGAGGCTAAAACAACATTCTGTTTACCAAGCTTGCTTTAGAAAGACTATCTAAACTGAGAAACTGCTGGAGAGGGCATGCACCTGTGGGGTTTTTGTTTTTTGCTTTGTTTTGTTTCATTTTGCTTTTTCTTTATAACTGGGTCAACCCTACTCAAGCAGATTTTTAAAAATCACTTTGTAATATTCAAAATTATTCTATAATTATGAAATACTTTAGCATTTTTTTCTCTATTGCTATGAAAACAACTACTACACAATTTGGGAACTCTGAATTCCAAGTGATATTAAACTGATAATATTAAAACAGCTAACTTGTTGGCTCTTTTTTTTTTTTTCTTTTTTATTTCTTTGCATATGTAGCAATTCTATTGACCTAGAGGACATAAAATATAAGGCAGTAATATTTAATTTAGTCTTGTCAAAATTTTATTGCCTTTGGCAAAAGAACATTGCAGAATATGCAGAAAAGCTCTAATGCAAAGGTGTTTAGCTGAATATTGACCACACCTAAAATTGGAATATATTTCTGGAAATAAAGTGTAACATTTCAGAAATAATTTCCTAAAGGAGCAAACAAAACAAAACAAGACAAAACTATCTTCCTATACTTTAAATTTTGTCTGACTTGATTAGTTTGATTTTTAGAGAATTGGTGAAAAAGATCCTACATGTTGCAGGCTTACAATTTCTGGGTTGTCCAAAAATGTATAAATATGCTTTAAAGTATAATAATTTTAACAGCATGTGCAGAGATAATATCAGAATAAAAAGGAGTAACAAAACTTCTCTTAGAGTCTCTGTAAATAAGAGATGTTCTAAGATATCTTCCTTCTCTTATAATGGAGAAAAGAAATTTGAAAAGAATTTTAATAAAAACTCATGTAAGTCCCCTCATGTGATATAAGGAGGTAACGCGTTCTTTTTATTCTCCTTTTGATGAACCTCTAGAATGTAATTTTTCTTCCACATCTGTAGCAGTTTACTTGTTTATTGGTAAAATTTGATTTTTTAAATGTCAAAGAGGTCTTAATTTTTCTAATGTGTTATGAATCACCACAATTGGTCTTCACATGCCCTCTGACTTCTGTTGGTTCTGGAGAGGATAGATGATAGGTAGATGATAAGAGAGAGAGATAGATATAAGATAGAAATTCTTGTGGAATATATTTGATTAAATTGAGAGGATCCCCACAAAGAAGTATGGAGACCATTTATATTATAGTAGTAGGGGAATATTTGATGAGTAGAAATCAATAATTGAGAGCAAATAATCTCCTTTGCAGTGCACCATTCACTCAGCAATCCAAGGCAGCTTTTCATCCTGATCTCTCTTTGAGGAGTTATTTAGATAACTAAGGACTTATCTCCATTTTGATTAAAAAAAAAATAGATTGAGACACAGAATTCATTAACCTGATGTCATACAGTTAGTAGTTGGTGTTGGCATTCTAACTTGTATTCATCATATTAATGTTCTGTATTTCCCATAATTCAGAAAGCAGAACTGATGCTTCTTAGGTCCACAAAACCCCTCATATTCCATCAGATGAGATTTTAAAAATCTGAAACAAAAATCTGGAAGAACAATCTTTCCAATTCCTTGCAACTTTAGAATTATGACATATTCTAAAAGTATTTTTATCACTTATTTCTTCCAAAGTTTATTTTTATACATATCAATAGGTTAACATAATGAAAAGCAATATTCAAAAACTTTTAACCATTTGAAAGTTTAATGTTTATAAAATATATTTATAATTTTATGTTTAATGTTCATAAAATAATATATTCAACTTGATAGTTCATAGGAATAGAATCTCTAAATTAAAGACTTACCAAAACTTTAAAAATCATTGTTATCCTTAAAAATGTCTAATAGAAAAGTCAAAATTACCATTACTATCCCAAATAATCCTTTTTCTGTTGTCCTAGTTCTCTTACACTAATCGCATTGACAGTCTTCTGTCATTTACTTCCCGGGTAACATTATATGCAGAAAGATAGTCCATCAAAGTAGCTACTGTGCAAAAGATGACAGTGATTTGAAGTCAAGACAAATGTGGATGCCACTACTTCCTCCCTCTTTAAAGATGTTCAAGTGAAAAAATGTCTCTGAGAAATATTCAGCAAAAAATGCTCTATAAAACACAATTTTCTGCTACCAAGTGCTTCCTACTATATTATCTCCTGGTCAAAATTCTGCTGTAATGAACAGTTTACCAAGACCAAGTTAATTATGTAGAAAATGCTCCACAAATACACTATCTTATATCCCTTAGTACCAGTCAACCACAAAAGACCTTTCTTTTCGGTGATATTCAGGCCCAGATCTTTATTCCCCCTTCTCATTCTTTTATTTAAAAGCCAAGTTTAAAGTTTTAGCTTTAATGCATTAAAATGCTTATTTTTAGCCTGAGGTATAATGACTACTTTAAAATATTAGCCTTGATTAGAATAAAAAAGACATCAATGTGCTATCTAAATAAATTTTTAAGTAATAAATTTCAATTTTAGATACCGTTTGCACTACTGAGTAGTACTGAGTGCATATCTACCTAAGCAACGTAAAGCAAAAACTGCTTTGAAATCAACCTAAATTATCAAGCTGGTAGTTTATTATTTTAATGGAATGATGTTAGACAACCTCATTTTGTCATATAAACTTCAAGACATATTAATATTAGGTAAACCATGAATAATTATTTGAAGTATATCATTAAAGACTGGAACTCTGTTAATGAAACCTTAAGATTAACACACTCAACAGTTTTTCTTTGATACTATCTTTGGAGACTATGAAGAAGCTGACATTTTTGTTGTGTCTGAAATTTCCAAAGCTTCAATTAACCCATTTGATTTCAAGATGCATAAAGATAATATGCAATTAAACTCTTTAACTGCCATTATTTTTTACAGATAACAGTACAGGTTAAGAGAGCTCCTTCATGCAATGAAATACAACGTAGAACACTGTATTCTCAAGTAGATGAACATCATTAGGAAAGGTTTCCTCCTGTCCATTCACATCTGCCCAAAAAGAGAAACTACCTTTCCAGCAGAATTAACAATTCTCACATTCAGGCCAGAGATGGTGAGTGAAGTCCTAATCTCAGGAAACTTTCTATAAATTTATTCCCCTGTCTTTTATAAACCATACCATGTTTTTCAGAATGGTAGAAATATTAAATCTTATGTCAAATTATCAAATTTTCTGATACATATTGTACTTTTTAGTTATTGTTCAAATATGATAAAATAGCCAGAATTGCTAAGTAAAAATATTTGTATTACTTACCATTTCTAGTATTTATGAAGTAACACACACGTAGCCTAGAGAATGTGTCATACTGGTAAATAATAAAGCAGATGCCTTTCAGAAACAGGAACAGATTTTATAAATCCATTGGAATATTTCCCCATTCATATGTACTTACAATAACATATTTTGCAGTGTTTGTCCTGAAGCTGAAAATAGAATTTGAGGCATTTTGCCAACACCTGTCTAATTTACAACATAAATGTAATGCAAATTTCTTATAGTTTCCCAAACACCACCAATACCTTCTCATTCAGTTTCTTTTGAATTTGGCCAACATTTTATGAAATCACAGCATAGTCAAAACTTCATAATTACCTTACAGAGAGAATCAGAAAGAAACATCACAATAATCTTCTGACTTTTTTTTAAGCCTCTAATGATTATGTAGGTAATAACAGTATCAGATAAAATATTATTAACTGTATCTTACCTCTATCACTGAAGTCATCTACCAGAATGATTTCTGCTATCAGAGTCTCTGGGGTTCGGTTAATTATACTGTGGATGGTACGCAGGAGTGAAGTCCAACCTTCATTATGAAATGGGATAATGATGCTGGTATTTGGCAGCCTTTCCAGGTACATCTTGTGCTTACAACTAGAGATGATAGAAGAAGAAAAAAGCAATGTCAAATGCAAAACTATAGCATATCTTATACTGCTATTTACTCAGTGTTATCAAACATCTGTGAAAAGTAGACTTTGTCTACTACTTTACCAACCAGTGCTTATACACCATAATAATCACTCAGTTCATTCATGGAATTCATTAATGATCCCTTTTACATGCGCTCTTAATAAAATAATTATCCTTTTTTGTATGAAGGACTCGGATACTAGGTAAGAAGAGCACTGAAACATGTTCTTGTTGATGAAAACTTTTCCTAACATTATCTAATAGTGAGAAGAACAAATTTTATGAGTTAAAATTGTTCCCACTTTGCACATGGTTAAGGTTTAAATGGGTTTCCTGGGAAGTTCTGGAAATCCAACCATAATAATTATGCTTAGTTAATCAGTTGGGGTTGCGGTGTGTTTCAATGGCTGGACAATATTTGAACTCTACAGGGAAAAACACGGTTTTACAATGAAATAAATGAAGAGTTAATTTTAAATAAGCATATACTGATACAACCACATAATAAGGTTACACTCAGACCAAACACAGACATTATCACATTTCTAGTGGAAATTATAACTAGGAATTCCATGTTGCTTTATTCATTATGAAAAAAAAAATCTAAGATACCAAAAATAACATAGGCTTTAACCTTTGGCACAGTTAAAAACAATTTACCATGTGTAATTATTATTTTTGCATATTTATGCTTTATTTAATTAGTTGTCAAGCCACACAAGGGCAGGAACCTGGTCTCAGATCTCATTTACTTCCTAGTTCAGCAAGTTAACCAAGCTTTATTGAGGACAATGAATGCACTTAAGTTTGTGAAATCTCTGAGTTACTTAAAACTAAAATGAGTAAAATTTCAATCAATTATCAAATTCAATGATTTTCCTGATATAGATGACTTGAAAACAAAAAACAGAATAGCAATCTAGAATTAGTTTCATAAATGCAGAAACATCTAATGCTTTAGCTTTTGTCAAGATACTGGCTACTATATAGTCTAGATGAGGAAACAAACCATAGCATGATGCGAAGTGTGCACAGAGTCTACCAATATGTAGAGAAATGCACCAGAATATTTAAAACATTACTTAAAATATTTTTCTCACTCATTTCAATACTTCATTTTACTATGATCTCAATAGGATATATTAAATATTACTGTGGATCTACAACAAAAGTTGCCTTACAACTTGGGAAAACATGGGGCGCCTGGGTGGCTCAGTGGATTAAAGCCTCTGTCTTTGGCTCAGGTCTTGATCCCAGAATCCTGGGATCGAGTCCCGCATCAGGATCTCTGCTCAGCAGGGAGTCTGCTTCTCCCTCTCTCTCTGCCTGACTCTCTGCCTACTTGTGATCTCTGTCTGTCAAATAAATAAGTAAAATCTTAAAAAAAAAAAAAAAAAGAAAGAAAACAACTTGGGAAAACATGACAATGCAATTAAAGCCAATAAAATTATCTTAGAAAACAAAATTAAATATTTTAGATAAATAATTTGAATCTATATATAAATCTACAAATATAAATATTTCTTTTTTTATTTTGTCCATTTATTTTGATTATTTAATCTCAGAATTTATTATTTGTAACAATACCTATAAAACAAATAGATTTTGATGTTTTAAAATATGATGAAAAGAATTGGAAATAACATCTAAGTCATACCATGAAATGGGCATTAAATGCTAGAAAAAATTCTTAAATTCACTTTAAGATAACACAGAATGGTTAAAAAATATAATAGCATATGAAACAGATCTGTGAGTGATTTCTAAGGAAATATTGTGAGATGGATGTTTTCACTTCTAATGCACAAGTCTGGAAAAGAGTGCCCAAGTAATTAAATACACCTCATTATAATCATGCAGAGCCATCCATTCTTCTCAAAAAAGCCAAAGGCCCAGATAATTGTGTTTCACTACGTCACTATTCAGGATAATTGTACCTATTTGTGCAAATCAACATACCTAACAGCACAACTGGGAATGCAACTGATATTCCCAAAAAGCCAAATTATTTTTCAAACATTAAGATGAGACATTGCACATATCACTTGCTTATTAATTAAATAAGCATTGTATTCACAGCAATACCCTAGAAGCAATCAATAGTGATGTTTAACAGCTCTGTACTAATCTATTCAGAAAATAGGCAGACACAAAAAAATGCAAGACTGATCCTATGTAAATAAGGCTTTCCTTCATAAAAGTGTATTCATTAATTTCTATCTCTGTGAGCTCAAACTTTTACCACACATAAGATGTGAAAAGATCTCTTCTACTCATTCATTCACTTATGTTACAATGATCTACTGAGGTTCGATATAAGCCAGAATCCAAAATGGAGAAGAAACAGCAAAACCTAATCCCTGACTTCAAGACATTTACAATATAATAGGGGATACAGAATAGAGAGTTACAATTTTAAACTTAAATTTGGAAAGTGCTGCAGAAATTCAAGGGAGAGCTGAAGGTGGTCCTCAACATATATTTAGGAATACAGCTGATATGACTTGTAACTGTCTGGGAGAAGTAGTTTTAGGAGGACTTCCATGTTTTGGACAGGGGCAGTTGATCTTATGAAATACAGATTTACATGAAGGGCACATCTCAAGGGTAAAAGGCTTGAGGGTGAAGATGCGTTGAATTCTGACCACGTTGAGGTTGAAGTGTCAAATATCCTGTTGAATATGGCAATTACATATGCGGTATACACATCTATTTGTCTATGTATGTATGCATTTCTGTATCTATGTGCATGTATATGTTTTAGGCTCAAGAAAAGTTCTGCTTTATGGGAGGCACAGACGTGTGAGTGACAGGTGAAGGCAGATGGGGCCAGTGGGCCACCAAGAGTTCCTTAGCATTCACCAGCCCAGTACATGCCAAGAGGATCCTTTATAAATACCTGCAGATCGTCAACCAAGTGCTTTCTCTCATCTCTGAACAAAAGCAGATGAGAAATTTTGGGGGAAATTAATGCCCGGGAGCACGTTTCAACCAATAAAGGAGGGAAGTTGGAGAATAAACAGTCCCCTGGTGAGGTAACTCTGAGGTGTTTTCTATATTATGTACCTGAGTTTCCCAGCAAGACGGGGGGTCCTCAGTTGCCCACAGAGACAAGGTTTTTACAGTTTATCTTTTATTAGCTTTTTTTCCTTTCCTGTCTTACTTCCTCATCCAGCCTCCCCAGGTCCTTTCTGTGATTCCTCCTCAAAATTACTACAGTCAAATTTTTGTCTCAAGGTCTGTTTCTATTGGAATCCGTTCTGAGACATAGGCATACAAGTTATGCTGTACTTGTCAAAAACAGTCTCTTCAATATAAAATGATAGTCAGAATTTCTTGAGAAGTATTATTTTATTGCATTATGAAGCTTTCAGTTTGTTACACCTGGAGATATTTTAAAATAAGGTTTTTTAAAAATATTTTCACACAAGCCATTTTTCATACAATCCATATTTTCATATAAGCCATATAAGATATTAATTTGTAAGAGAGGTTTTATATCTTTCAACTTCTTAATTTCTGATGCTCTGCTCAGAGCCTTCTCTGTGCCTATGAAATACAGCTATCAAGACTTGACACAGTGTACCTATAAAAATAGCCTTATCCTAATCAGCAGACCGTTAGTAGTAAAGTTCCCTTCTTTACATGAATGTGTATAATTTTTTTTTCGATCAGACCAACATGGAAAACTCTCTATCTTGTGCTGATAATCATTTCTCAAGTATTGAAAAATCATACTTTATACATCAGACTATCTAGGTTCACATGAGGGCTTTGCCACTTACACCTGCATGACAATGGGCAGGTTATTCAACTTCTATAAAACCAATTCTCTCATGTGGGGCAACGCAGGGGCAAAAATATATAAATAAATTAGATTAAATTAAATAATTAAATTAAAAATAAACAACCTTCATAATGTGTCCATGAGAATTAAGTTACATAATCCATGCAAGGAACTTAGTACAGCAGCATATCAGATCGTAGCAAGGGTTTGATAAATACTGCCATTATTGTTATTGCTCTTATTGCTTTTTAATTATTATTATTTTACCTGTCAAGTCCTTTATGGAAGGAGGGAGGAAATTAGGGGAGACAGGGACTGCACGAGGGAAAGTGAGAGACACTTAGGATATGAAGATGAATACATTATAGTTTCTTCCCTTAAGGTTTCACAGACCAGTAGGCAGATATATAAAATGATTTGACTTGAATGAGACAAGTGACATAAAAGATGGCATGCAACAATCAGAGCCCAAAGGAAGTATGACTAACTTTGTCTGAAAGAATTAGGGAAATTTTTATAGATGAGTCTGTCTGTTAAGAATAGATCAGGGAGCATCTTTAAAGTGATGCTAAGGAATTTGGATGTTCGCCTGAAGTCAACGTGAAATATTTCACATGTTGTTAGTGATGAGGAAAACAGGATCATGTTTCCATGTTCCTCTGGTACCAGGGCAGACAATGGAGACAGCAGACATGAGACAGAAAGATTGGATATTGTAATAGTTTCAGCAAAAGATAATAAGGATGCTGATCCGATTTTTTACTCGAAGGAAAACCAGCCACTTTGTGACAGGGTTTAATCTGATTGAATTATATTTAGTCATTCTAGTACTTAACGCGCTCCAGAGAAAAGTGAATTCACTCCCAACCTCAGCCACTGGATTCTAGGAGTTGGGCTCCAGATGATTCCTTCTTAGTATTACTAGAAATACTGAAGCCTATCCAGGGCTTTATTAAGAATCTGCAACCTGTGCTTTTTAGGCTTAATCTCAAGTTAGGTGGAGAATGGAAGTATGTTAAATATGAAGACAATATGGTAATATGGAAATGTGTTGAAAAAATAAGTGAAAAAAAAAAAGTCAAACAATTTATATGTTTATGGTTCCAGATGGGTAGCAAATTCACAAAGAATAAATAGGGACCGATTAAAACATTTGTTACATTAAACTTATAGG